AATATTTAATAGATTTATATATATATTCGAAGTATAAAATGCATAATTTAAAAAAATACTAAATATGTTTACAGCAATAATGGGAGGGCAAGGGAGAATGTGAACAGGTTCATAGGAAAGATTGATGTTACAAGTCTCTCATTCTGTTTTTATCTTTGCATATTTCAAAAGGTATTCTTTATAATGTTGCCATGCTTGTTTTATTTTTGCTTTGAGTTTGACTAATCCACTCTCACTTATCTTCTTTATTCTGTATTCTAACTTGGTGAAGATGTAATTTTCACCTTCAAAAACACTTGCAAGTTAGGTGTGGCTTCTGTACCTAAATATAATGCAACAAGAGGCGTGAAAACTTTTTTCCTTCTATTCTACCGTGATAGATGTGTCAAGAAAAAGATTTAGCCCAAAATCTATATCTTACAAATAGAAATGTTCTTTTTATTTTTTCATCTAAACACTCTAGATCAAGGAAATTTAATAAGGGGTAGAAGGTGCATTCTTTGATTTCCATCCCAAAAAAACCGTGGAACATTTTTAGCAGACATAAAGTTCAGTTAAAGCAACCAACAAATGGAAATCTCTGTGATATTCATGAAAGATGAAAAAAAGTAAAGTATAAAAAACTGGAAGGAGGAGCAGTATTTTTGTCTTTAATGGTGACAAAAACAAACCCACTACTTCTGTAAAAGCTTACTCTTATTTCATTGTAATGTAAAAAGAATTACTACTATCTCTTTTAGATACTTACCTAAGGATACATATGATTGTAAAGATGGTATTCTGGAAGTCTCTTTCCACAATATTCATGACACAATGTCAGTTTCAGCAGACATGGAAGGAGGCTAACTTCAGGGAGTGAACTGCAATGTATAGGAAATGAAATTGAGGTTAGCAGGAGAAACACTGCTTTTTCTTGTTCATCAGACGAGCATGGAGACTGAGGGGACAAGCAGATATCAAGTTAGTTTTCTCCATGAAGATAACAAGAACTATACATACTATAGATACAAGCTGATTGTCTCCTGGAACAGAAGATGAAAGTGTTATAGGCCAAAGGATTTTTCTACACTGTAATAGCAAAGAAAAAAGACAGAACATATGAAATTCCTTAGACAAGTAAGAAGGAAAATGAATGCCAGTGGACATAAAATGAAGGCATGTTAAGTAGAGAAATAAGAAGATTTGATGTCTTTAATGCCAATGCAACTCAGCAAATGATAGACATCAGTCTGTCTAGCAATCACAGCCACATGAACCAAACTTTGCCAATTCCAGTTTTATGGAAAAGAAGAAGATAATCACCCTGACTTCTCAGCCAACAAACTGAAGAAACCCAAAAGCTTTTTTTGAGGAAGAAGAGGTAGACAGTTTTGATGAGCGATTCCTGCTAAGGGGAACAGAGGTTTCAACATATAAATATGTTGAAGAAAGTATATTGTTTTCCAGTTGTCTGTGTGCAGGATGTAATGAAAATGCTGTTGAGAAATGTCAGACTCACTGGTAATTCTCCATTTCTATTGATTCATGTGCTAGAGGAGACCTTTCTTTCCACCCTGGACAGAAAGGTGAAGGGACTAGGAGCCCAGATAAGTCTTTCCAGATGGGAATATGGCATAACAAGATAGAACAGGAGCCCGGTGTTTAGATGGTGCCATCAAGGAAAGTTTAGATTCCCGATTTATAGAGTATGCTACATACATGAAGCACTTGTGACAAGAAAATATCCCATAGCAGGAAATGTTTGGCAGGTACTTTGCCTATTTAATCATGAAAGGATTCAACAAAAAAGAGGGTTGGGTAGAAAAAGGCCAAAGTCAATTATATCACCAAGAGCTGAAGCAAGATAACTCATTTGAAGTGCCCCTAACAAATACAAGCATCTTACTCTTATCTGGTCCTACAGTCATTATCATCATTCAATAATAAGCTGTAACAAAAAAGAACCAACAAATGCCTTAACAATCTCTATCAACAGGGAATAAATGAAGAAACACAAGATTGGAGAGGACTTAGAAATGGGTTGAAATGACAACCGTGAAACCAAAAGGATGAATCAAAATGGGGAATTTTAAATCTTAATACAATGAATATAACTTTACAGGAATCACTGAAACTTGATGGGATTGATGTTCACACTCTTGAATTGGCCCATTCAATGCTGAAATTGTTTTTACCTGATGTGAAGAGCCAATTTATCACACAAGATGAGAAATGGCAACCAGTTCATTCTGTATAGTAACAAAGAAGTGTTCTCAAGGCCCAAGTCACAAATCCAGACCCATAATATACAAATTATCATAGTTTATATACACTTCAAAAAGACGAAAGCACATGATCATTAACAAACAATAGGCAACAAGCAATAAATTATTCACAACCATAGTAGAAGATGATCCTCCCAGAAAGTGGATTTGTTACTAACATATTATAGCCATTGTTCTTCTCCAACTAATAAGGATGGCAGCTGAATATTCATAATTTTCTGGCTAATTTACCTACCTGGTTGACAGGGAAAGGATAGTACTTTCTGATAACAGCAACCACATAATCCCTTAAGGAGTATACAAGACCGAACACAAAAAGGACACAGTCAGGAATAAGGATAAACAAAATGACATTTCAAACGAAATGGAGTTTCTCTGGTTAAAACTAGTTATACCAGCCCATCAGAATGATACACATGATTGAATTATGGATCTGCAAGACTGTGACTTGTTCAAAAAGAAACAAAACACAGTGTCCATTTGTATATAAAAAAAGCATATACCTGCATACACATATTCACAAATGGAGGCATGGAAATCCTGTTGAGAGTATTTGAGTAAAAATAAAAAGAGAGAGAAACAAAAGTGATACTATCATGGATATGTATTAAAGACCACTTGAAGAGGCAGAAGATATAATTTAGGGTTTTCTTTATCAGATAATCAAACTTTCAAAGAGGTATGCAATAGTGATAATGGTAGAGTTCAACATGATTTCTGATGGGAATCTAACCCTGTCAAAAGTTAGAAATCCAACAAATTGTTGTAATGTCATGTAAACACTTGTCAGAAGGAGGAATAAAAAGTATGCTATCCTGGGCTTAAGTCATACCAAAAGAGAAGAACTGGTTGAAGAAGTGAGGAAGATAGAACCTGAAGGGAAAAAAAATTACCATATTACCCTTAAATTCATGATATTTGATGAGTTCAGATGTGCATTCAACTCCAATGGCTTGAACTCTTGAAGGAGATAATTATTCAAAAAGGATGACAAATCCTGCAGAATGAGATGCTAACAATTCCGACTAGAAACAAAATGAGAGACATCCCAAAAGATCAGTGTGAATACACATGAACATTTGTAAAATGTTGAATGGAGAGAGAGGGGGCAAGAGAGAGAGAGAGAGAGAGAGAGAGAGAGAGAGAGAGAGAGAGGGAGAGGGAGAGAGAAAGAGAGATTGTGATGACTCCTCTGGATGCTTCCCCAGATACCTCTCCAGATGTCAGCTGGGAGGATGAATCAGTTCCAGGGACGTCTGGAGGGGAGTTGGTCAATGGCTCCAAGCAGCTGTCTGAGAGGGATTTGGCTCAAGTACAGCTGTAGCAGGACAGCCCTGAGGCTTCAGGTGGAGAAAAGCATGTAGCTACAGCCAGTCAGTGATGAGGAATAAGAACTGTCTTCTGCACGTGATCCAACAACATGTAGGCCAGAAAAAAGGCAGGAGCAGAGAATGTTAGCCAGATTACTCATCAGCAGAAAGCCTTGCCCTTCTTGATGGGCTGTACCAGAAGCTGGGTATTTAGCATAGCAAACAGATAAAAGCATGTTCATGAAATGAACAACATGTCATTTCCTAGTTTTGTATTTTCTGGTTGTTGTGATTCTTGCCTTGCTTTGGATTGACACCATGCCTTGTGAACTCTTTGTATTGTGGATTTAATTTTGCCAGGTGGGTTTATTTTGATTGAGAAACTTTCAAGTGCCTTGTGGACTCATTAGCCATTGTTCTGTGGGCTAGCATTGGTCTGCTTGTGGCTGGACTTAATTGGGACAGTCCTGGGTTGCAGGGGAATATTAATACACCCACTAAACCATGGTTATGTGTGTGTTTGAGAGAGTGGGACAGCACAGTGACTTATATGAATGCAACATAAAAAGGAGATTGTAAGTAAAGAATAATACAAGGCAGTTTTCAGAAACTCTATGGATTGTGTCAGAGAGCTTATAATGAGCCAAGCTTTGCAAAAATGCCCTCTCCCCAACAACATTCCAGAAACAAAAGGGAAGAGAAAAAAACCTTAGGTCTGTTGTGTGAGAAAAAGGTTGAATTGGTAATGGGATGGTAAGAAGGGAGAACATTTATTTCTTCTCACCTTAGGAAAACAAAGCCATAGCTACCCATTATTGTGCCACTCATGCAAAGAGACATCTGTAGCATACATAAGAAAGGAAACTTAGAAAGGAACCCTTTAAATGAATTTGTCTCTAGGTCAGATGACTAACATAGTGAAGGAAGTAGTAGGGGCGATTTTAAAACCAATGACTGTAATCCAAGAACTCCTGCCTCAGTATCTCAGAAGTCTCGAGGAGAGCAAACCTTCTCCCACTGCTTTTAAAGGGGAAGGACAGGTAGATTCAGGAATTGGAGATCTGTCAGGATAACATCTATATATTGGGCAAGATGTTCAAGCTAATTATTAAACAGGATGTTTGAATGCAATAATTAATAGAAGCCAACAAGTCAAAGAGGAGTCATGCTAGAATTACCTTAGCTTCCTAGTTTAATAAATCTAGGAAATGTAGTGGACATAGTATACTTTGACTAAAGCAAAGCATTTGACAAACTCATAAAATTTTCCTTAATAAATTGGTAAATTTTGTAAGTATGGATTCATTATGGCTGAATGACCAATTTCAGAGACTACTTAAAATAGTTTTACATCACTAGGAAAATAGCATTATGTGAAGTGTTTTTCCAGGCTTCATGCTATTCAATATTTTTGGTAATGGCTTGGTTGAAAAGGTTGAAGAAATGTTTATCAGATTTGCATATGGCACAAAACTAATGTGAGTAGCTAATGCTTGTGAGAGCGGAAACGGGAAGAATGGAGAGAGATAGAGAGACAAAGAGACAGACAGAGGAATCAAAAGATGTACACCAGGGGTGACAAACTGCTGGCCTGTGGGCCGGTTGCATCATGTGGAGGCTGCATCCACCCCAACTCCGGCAATGTGAAAAAACTCGCAATACGTCACAACTCGTCACATAATGCAACAAGTTTAACACCCATGATGTAGACAGCCCTGAATGAACCAAAGTAAGCAGAATCAAATTTAATAGAAAAAAATGTAAATTCCTGTATCTGAGGAAGAAAAAAAAGAAAGATACAACTGTAGAATGATGAAAACCTGACTTAAGAATCAAACAGAAGAATAGAATAGAATAGAATAGAATAGAATAGAATAGAATAGAATAGAATAGTCCAGCCCCCTGCTCAAGCAGGAGAACCTATACCATCTCAGACAAGTCACTGTCTAGCCTCTTTTTAAAAATCTCCAGTGATGGAGCACCCACGATTTCTGGGGGCAAGCTATTCCACTGGTTAATTGTCCTCACTGTCAGGAAGTTTCTCCTTAATTCCAGGTTGCTTCTGTCTTTGATCAGTTTAGATCAGTGGTTCTCAACCTTTCTAATGCCGTGACCCCATAATAAAGTTCCCCATGTTGCGGTGACCCCCAACCACTTATACATCACCGGGTGCCAGGGGCATGGCCAAAGAAAAGGGGGAAAATGGCGGACATCCTTGTTTGGCGACCCCCATGAAATGGTCGTTCAACCCCAAATGGGGTCCTGACCCACAGGTTGAGAACCACTGGTTTAGATCAACTGAACTTGAGTCAAGATCATAATATAAGGAAACAAATGAAATTTTGGGATGTATTCAGAGAATTATAAAGTCTAGACCAGACCTTGGGAAATAAATGGCCTAGGTTATCTGCCTTGTTTAGATCTTGTTGAATACTCAATCCAGTTTGGGGAATTGCAGTCAATAAATAAAATAGACCAGCTGGACCAAATTCTGAGGAAGACAGGACAAGTACCAATGGGTTGAAACTACAGAGAACTAGATTCACATTAGATAGTAGGAAGAATGTTCTCATGATAAAGGGTGTTAAAGGGTGAATTGTTTATTTATCTACTGTACTTGTTAAAGCATGATGTAGTAACAGTCTTTGATTCATTGGCTCATGTATTTGCCTATCTATCTACCTAATACATTTCTTTGACTGTGGAAAATCTGAGCTACCAGTACATTTTTAATGTATAATTTGTATTTTTTTAAATTTTCCAGTACAGATTGGAAAAAAGGGGTAGAGGAATTCTATCTTTGAGCCTGAAAAAGCTTCAGAGCAACAGAAAATTAAAGACTTATTCTTATCCAAGGAACATATTACAGTAAGTGATGATGAATCATTCTCATTAAGTAATCAATTTGAGCCACTAATGATGTAAGATTCTGGGGAGGAGGATAATAGAAGCTACCCTCATCCCCCATCATAAATTCTATCTTAGCTAAGAGTTTGGAGGTAATTAATGTATTTGAACAAGTTAATACTGCTAAGATCTCAAGAGAGCTTATGGAATGACACTGCCTCTTCACCAGATATAGTGGTTCTGATACCTCAAAATTCACAGCACATTTAATAAGAAAATAGGTAAATTACAACAAATGTTCCAATGAAATTCCCATCAAAATAGAAAGTTGCTTAAAACACTATTCGAGAAAATCACATCTCAGACTGTTGCAGAAAGAGAACTTAAGTCAACAAGAAATGTCAATACTTATCTCACTCAAAATAATCACAAAAGTTCTCTTTTTATTCAAGTTTTTAAAGCAATCCAAATAATGCTTTCAGTTAAAAATGACAAAATGAACAATATAGATGGCTTTTATCTAAGGCTGTTATTCTCTTACTAAACCAACTACTTTGAACTTGCATATCACTAACTGACATGAGGAAGATTGACTGGCTTCCTAAGCACTTTGATTGACAGAGAATTTTAATTAAATTTAATAGCCCAGCTATTCCATTAGCGCTAAATAAAGAAAATATTGGAAGTTATAAGAAATCTACCTAAACTGAGTGTTCAGGGAACTGTTATAAGACTATTATTATCCAAAAAACAAAGTTGGACATGGGCCCAAAGATGTTAATTATGAAGCAAACCATAGCAATGTTAAATGGCCTTGAACACAGAAAGTAAGGCTACCTGCAACGAACAATCTCATTAGCAGAGATGATGTAATAGGTCTTAGTGAAAAATGCATTTAATCAATTGCCAAAGAAGAAGGCAGGTATTAAACACTAGATCAGTGTTTCTCAATCCAGGCATCTTTAAGATGTGTGGACTTCAATTCCCATAATTCCTAGCCAGTCATCCCCAGCCCAAGTTGCCAAAGTTGAGAAACACTGCACTAGATGATTTAAAGCAAGATCTATTGAAATTAAATATTGAAGTGGTTCACTTTTCAACATCAAATTGCATTATGTCTATGGAGATTCTTAGTCATCCAGGTCATAGCTGTCCCAAAGATGCTTTTCCATGAGGCAATTGAATTTTCTTATCCAGTTGCCTCATGAAAAAGCATCTTTGGGTTAAATTGCATTCAAATACATTATATAAAGGAACAAGTCTTTCAGTCTAAAATAACCTACTCTGAAGTATTTCAGCCTGCCTTTCCCAAAAGAATGTATACCTGTTTTTATAAACAGGCTACCATCAATATCAATTATGTATGTTTTATATCATAGATTGTGTTTTTTTTAAATGGAATTCTCTGTCCGATATTAGTTGGGAATAAATGCAGTATACCAACTTCTGGAAATCTAATTTACAGGTTTTGTTAGCGTAATCCAAGAATAATTTTTCCAAAGGTGTGATATCTCTGACTCCATATTTTAGAAGCAATTCCTGCTTCACAATATTTAAAACTATATTTGGAAGAATAGAAAGCACTGAAGCTAAATACAACCTGACCATCATATGTAGATTATTAACTTCTGATATACCAAGTTCTTCGTCTTTAAGCAAAATTAAGATACAATTTATATCTTTTAGTTATATTTTTAATTTTTCATGCTTTTAGAGAAAAGCTGCAAAACTGAAACATAGTCATGGTATATCAGAGTAAATGTATTTTCATACTAGCAATGCAGAGATTCTTATAGATGCATATATAGTAAAGACCTAATGTGGGGCTGGAACGTTAAAATAAAATAAAAATATGCTTTTCCGACCATAGCTAGAAATTAGTAGAAGTGAAAAATGATTGATTTTTCAATCGGAATTCATCAGAAGTATTCATATATCTTTGCCCTTTTAAGAAAATTAATTCATTGAATTGCTGCTTTTTAGAGAAAAACAGATAGGTGGACTAAATTCATCTATCTATACTTCTTACTCTGTTGAACAGCTAATTAGTAGATTTCAATCACTATTAAAAGGCATTTTAACTTAATTGCTACTGCTAAATTTCTTACTTAATACTCAGTTTAGGCAATTTATCTGATTACTTAGCTCTTAATTTTAGCTTTATTCCTGCTAATTAAAAACACATATAGCATAGCAATTGAAATGTTTAAAGTTCTTTTGATGAGAATATCAGAACTGAATCAGAATAAAGTATATAAAGTATAAAAAGGATGGCAATATGTCCTTCATTGCTTAAGATCTTCTGTGTTCATGATACCATACAGAAGAAAACTGCACAGGCATAAACTAGTATCCTAAACAAAACACATCTTTGCATGTTCAAGATCAATTGATCTAATAATGGAGAAATTACAAATATTGCTGCAAAATGTGTCAAGTGTCAAGGAAATCAGGCAAATAAATCAATCAAATAAATATAAAGATTTATTGCAAGCTTAAGATCTCTATCAAAAATCTGAGCTATTAATGGTCAAGGGAAAAGCATTCAAAGTGGGATGGAACTAGATCTCTTGCAGGCACGTAGGATGATGCATTTGATCTTTTCCTCGGACTCAGCCTGGTCATCTCCTTCAACATGTAGGAAAAATAGATTACTTGAATCAAACTGACACCTGGGTAGTTTGGCTGTAGTGGTACTGTGAATCTGAATGTTGATATTTAAATGTAACCTGTCTCTGGAATATAAAAAAAACATTAGAAGGGAATAAATATATCAAAAACAATACAGAATATCAAAGTGCTACATGGCATGGGACTGCATTATTTAAGAGACAACCATCTGCCCATCCTACCAGATCCAGTAGAATGGGTATGTTATGGATTCTGTCATTTAAGTAGCTACATTTGGCAGGCCTGAGATAGTAGGACTTTTCTGCTGTGGCACCCACATCTTCTCCCCAAATATAAGGTTGACCTCATCAATCCTGAACTTTTTAGGTCCCTCAAGATCTGGTTATGCCAGGAGGCTTGGGACCCCAAGGTATGTGTGAACTCATGAGGTGGCTCCGTTATTATTGGCTTCCCTGTGTCTGTTATTTTCCTGTTTTAGTTCTGCTATTATAATTTTAATATATTTTAATTAACATTGTATAATGGTTTTAGACAATGCTCGTTTTATTTGTTTAGTGTTTAATAGATTGTATGCCATCCAGAATCACTTTGTGAGATAGGTAGCCATATACATTTGATTAATAAATGAATAAAAATATTAATCACATATGCTATTAAATTGATTCAAAGGCAAACACATTTCTTAGGTTGGTTGGTTTTTTTGCAGACTTTTCATTAGCCAACTCTGCACTGAAGATGTAATCTAGTTGAGTAATGAAAGGTCTTCAAGAAAGTAACCAAGCTCAGAGAGCACCAAGGACTCTATAGTTCAATCCTGAGCTACAAATATTTTCTTCTATTGATGATTTTTTTTTCTTAACTACGCACAAATATAAGTTCACTGCAATTTATTTTTATTTTGTCTTAATAAAAAGCATAATCAAGATAAGTTTATCAAATGAACATTCTACTAAATCTTACAATAGATAACCTTAAACTCATAAAAAAGTATTATTTTTCTCCATCAAATCAAATCTTTTAAGTGTTAAGAACATAAACGAGCGTTATGGCCTTTGTCATCAGGCATGACAAGTTATTTATAATTCTATTTATACAATTTATTTTAAAGACTTGGAATTATTAGATAGTACAATAAAATTAGCCTTGACAGTTTTCAATTGAATGATACATTCTAAAATCAAATGCAGTTCAGCAAGTATATTCTTGGACTCTTAATTGTGTGTAATTGACCTTATCTTCAGCATCTGTCATCCTGATCTAATTACAGGACATATATATAGACACAGGGTTCTCCATAGCCCCCTTTCAAGTATTCATAAAAAAGATATTCTGGAGGGTGATGACAAAGCTCTGAATAGTCTCTGATCTTCCTATATTATAGGGGTGAACGTTACCCTTCTCCACAAGGTTAGCAAATCAGTTTGCATAGCACTTGTAAGGGTATTCAGAGGTGAAAATAAGATGTTTTCACATTTGCTTTCTTACACGAAGATATTAACCATAAATATTATCCATTCCTATGTGAAGACTAAATAAACAGAGGAAAGGAATAAGCATAAGATTTGCTATGATGACTTTTCATCTGAATATAGTATCTTATAAAGGCCATGAGTATTCCAAAGGATGCTATATAATTCAGTCCATGCAAGACCATTGTCAGGAGCTTTTTCTTACATTCTCCTTAAGCTGAAGCAATTATGTGGTCATATTAACAATTATATGAACAATGAAAGAGATGTATTGTTAAGAGCAACTATCATCATTCTTTAATCATACATCAGTCTGAAAGAAAATAGAAATCTTTTAGAAACATTTCAGACATCCTGGCTAGCATCTAGTGAATACATTAATGAATATTGTACAATAACTGTTTAATGGGCAGCTCACAGTATGTTTCTCAGTTATTTCCTTTTCAGCAGCTAAATAAGGCAGATATATGAAAGACTGTATTCTGTACTGTGAACAAATGGTTCTACATCAGCACACTTGCCAAGTAGTTAGAAAGAGTCAGTGTAGGAGCATAATCAAAAATTAGCCCAAGATTGCTTGTACCGGATGGCATGCTTTAAATTAGTGTGGGTTGTTAAAACCAATCAGTTTAGTCACTGCTTCCCAGAATGTTTAATGTTCCAATGTTCTCATTTTCCAATTGCTTGGTCCCTGAACAGACCGTAGTGGGCCCTAGGGGAAATAAGGCATTACCTTAATTTGTATGTAAGTTACGATTCTTTAAAACCAACTATCTGATTTAAGATTGACATGTATTTAAGATAAGCCTATATACAGTGCCACAACTTCTATAACTCTACCGTAGTAGTAAGTGAATGCCACATAATACTATTGACTTAATAAATTGGTTTCCAAGTAGAGAAGAAAATTAAAAAAGAACATTTGGCTTATTTTTTCCTTCCTGTTAAATGTGATGTCCAGTTGTTGCATAAATACTTGACTTTAAAATGTTTGCTGTTATTTTACAAATTTTCAACATTATCCTACTGCAAATTTTACTGCTGACATTTACCAAATTTTATTTCAAATGAAAGTATCATGCAAAAGGAAGTCAGACATTCAGAGATACATAGGAAGTCATCTTTGAACCAAGATCTTCCTACCTGCCTCCATTCCACAACTGGAATCCTGATGGTAACATTCACAATCATGTCCCTGACTGCTATTTACTACTCAGTCCTTTATAGCTTATCTCCTTTCTAGTTATTCGAGTAAGGTACATCTTCTTCCAGATCTCAAAGCTTCTCTCCATCTTCTGTCTTTTTCCTGTGGGCCTTTTCCAACAGGATCTCGACTATAACATATTCATCATCTACAAATACACACACACACACACACACACACACACACACTTGAAAAAAAAGCCTACAGACAGCACAGTTGAACCATCAGCTGAATCTTGTTCTATACTCAAAAAAATAAACACAAAAGTGGCCTCCTAAATGCTCATCATACCTTTCTATCAAGTCACAGTATATATAATATATTTAACATACTTAAAATAGTGCCATATAATATGGTCTGCCATGACCATACTGTATTTTCATAATACATATTGGATGGGAAGGTTTACATGTTTCCAAACTTTTCCCTAGTCACTTCAGTTTTTGTAACAAAAGTCAGATTTTATTTTCCCCATTTTCATAGTTAGAATATGGCTGTTTATGATATGAATAATATTACAATACTATAAAGCATTATTTATTAAATCCAGGGTAGCCATTTGTGAAGTTATATTAACAACCAATTTGCTATTTTAACTTATTTAATTTAGAAATCATAACCTAGTATATGCATCTTCTGGGGAGGTCAAGGGGAGCAAAGGACTTACGTGTGATGTAATATCATTTGTGCAATGATATCATAGTGCATATGATACCATTGCAGCTTTAATGGATGCACTTATCTTTATGAATCTCAGCATCACCAATACCAAATGAGTCCATTTAATCCAGTTTATAGTTACTTGCCCTTATTTTTGTAATGTCCAACACAAAATATAACCTAAAGGAAAATAAAGAAACATAGTGGGTTTGTTTTAAAAAAAAGAACCCTCATGAAATAGCACTTTTGGAATGTCTGTATTTTATATGATTGCATTCGTAAATGGCTATATATTTATGAATATATTTATATGTTTAGTGTCTTTAATATTTGCTATTTTCTCTTGAGACCTTAGGGTGGCACACGTACATGTTTATTGCTGTTTTATCCCTTGCAACTATAGGATCTGATGTGCTAATACTGACTGTTCCAAAGCCACCCAGAAACTTGAATGGTCAAGGAGAAGCTTAAATCAGTCTCTCCTCAGTCTGACACTCTAACCACTATAATTCCAAACTCTAAATTAGCTCACTATTTGTATGTACCGGTAAATGGTTTTAACTGAATTTAACAGTCTAGTTTGCCAGATTGTGATGATAGGGCTTTTCCAAAGAAAATAAAAGGAATCAGTGAGTGTTATAAGAACATCTTTAATGAAGTCACAAGAGACACAACATTCAAAAATAAGGACAAAAGTAGAGCAAGGAATATATCTGCTTGCAGCAGGATGAATTCCCTGTGGTAAATGATATAGGTTTGAAATGTATGAGATAGCTGAACATTTTCATTAATTGTCTTCATAGAATTTTAAGTTTGTTCCTTTTGTTTTCTGCAGTTTGGGGATATAGCAGTAGGCATATAAGTCAGAATATTTTTGCTATCAGAGAAGAACAGGTTATGTTTTTCTATGCCATTTCCTAGTAGAATTGAAATAACAGGCTGTGTGATGTTAAAAAAAGTTGCCAAACAACAAATGAGTTTTATCTTCTCAGAACTTTGTTATATTAGTCAAAATCATTCAGAAAGCTGAGAAAGTTGAGATGAAAAAAAAAGCAGATGACTATTTTTAGCACATTAATGGGAAAGTATGTTATTTACATAGGGGTTTATTAACAGTTTTTCTCTAAAGGTAGAGTACAGACTTTTTTCTCTCAAAGAAAAAAAATACAACTCTCATGGATGTGTCAGGAACTCTTGAATTTACCTTAGTTGCAAAATGTCCAATGATTGTGTGCAAAGAATCCACCTTCCATTACATAGCCTCTGTGGCTTCTCATATTTTAAATCCCAAGACATCATAAGAAAACTCTTCCTCCTAGTCTTGTCCTATTCAAGAAATATGGATGGCTAAAAAGGGATAACAGAATAAGAGAGTTGGAAGGCATTTTGGAAGTCTTCTAATCCAACTCTCTGCTCAAGCAGGAGACCCTATACCATTTCAGACAGGCTTGTCTAATCTGTTCTTAAAAACCTCCAGTGTTGGAGTGCCCACGACTTCTGAAGGCAACCCGTTCCACAGGTTAATTGTTCTCACTGTCAGGAAATTTCTCCTTAGTTTTAGGTTACTTCTCTCCCTGGTTAGTTTCCATCCATTGCTTCTTGTTCTGCCTTCAGATGCTTTGGAGAATTCATTGACCTCTTCTTCTTTGTGTCAGCCCCTTGGATATTGGATATTGGATCATTGCTATCATGTCAGTCCTTGTTTTCACTAGACTAGACATACCCAATTCCTGAAACCATTCTTCAAATGTTTTAGCCTCCCGCTTCCTAATCACTTTTGTTGATCTCCTCTGTAGTCTTTGAGTCTTAATATCTTTTTTATATTATATCATCCTTTACCAATTTTTAACAATATAGTCAGTTTAAAAAGTGTTGAAGGAACCTCTAAAATATTCCATATTGAGATATAGAATTTAGCTTAGTATTAGATAACATCGTGCAGAATTCTGTCATGAATATATCCAGGCGTCGTGAATTAGTAGGGCTCATTCATTTAAGGTTATCATAAATCTATCAAGCTTATCTCACAGTTGCAAAATAATTCCATGTTTCCTATTTTCATAAGGAAATTCACTGGACAGACAATATCTAAAGAGGCACCTTTTGATATATCATCATTCTTGAAGCCTTCTACTCTGGGTGAGTCAGGGCAGGAATGGTGGGCCTGGTTTTTGATTTAACATGCTCCATAATTAAGTGAATGCCATGGTTGCTAAGTTAATTCATGTATTCCTATCAGCATATTTCGCTAGCAACCAGCAAAAAACATTGTAAAGGGCACTCATGTGACTGCACAATGCTTCAACTGGCCATAAAAGTGAGAAGCACCCAAAGTGTGGCCATGTGATCATGGAGTTATGTGCAACCATTGGAACTCCAAAACTGGATCATAAGTAGCTTTGGGGGAATCCATTGTAACCTTGAATGGTTGCTAAGTGAAACAATTGCTTACTCCTGAACTAGGAGAAAAAGTTCAATTATATTTCATGCCGGAGCTGTGGATCAGCACTTAGAAGATATAATTGTTATCAAAAGTAAGGACCAGAGTATTCAGTTATGGGAGGATTAATGAATACCAATAGAATGTATACTGAATGACATTGAACATTCTATCAGTAATATTATAATTATTGATCCATCAAATTGACCACCCTATTATGTCTAAATTACTAACTAATATATTCTTGTCCATCTGTCTGTTTCAGATGTTCACCTGATGGATGAAGTAATAGAAGATCATGCATGCATGCTGGTTCTATTTCTGTTCTCATTTCTATTCAACCTTCATGCATTTAGGTGAGATGTACATTGAGCTTCTTCAGAGCTTCAGTTCAACATATAGGGTCAAGAAAATGGAGGGACATCTGGATCTACAATATCATCTTTAGCCCTCCCCAACACTATACATCCAAATAGCCCTCCCCAACATCATACATTCAACTATACCATGTTATAGTTCATGAATCATAAGCTTACTCCTTGAAATATTGCCTAGGAAAATTTTGCTATTCATAGTTGTAGTATACAATTCAGTATTTCATCCTCTATAATTTTTTTTACAGCAACTCTGTCTATTCATATGTGTTTAAATTAATCTGTTTTATCTGATGACCTCCTAGCATGAGCTGGATGTATCATTATGTACTACAGTTTTTGTTCCGGAAAATGTCAAAGTTTGATTTATCTATTCTGCTTTGCTTTAATTGTTCTAAATTGTTGTATGTGACTAGTCCTTTGTCCTCTTATGAATCATAGAGCAAACTAGCAGCACAGATTAGAATAACTTTGTCTGAAATACTTTAGTAATTTCAGTGGAATAAAAGGTATGCATGACACATACATCCAATGTAACCTTCAAAGCAGCAAATCATTAAAATATAAAAGTCAGATAGTGTTAGGATTAATTTTTTACCAGAATCAAAGACTAAATTAAAGACTAAATTCCCAGTAAAGACTAAAAATGTAATTTTATTCCTGTGTACAATTTCACCATGCAATTGGGAAAATCTGTTGAGCAATGACTTCATTAATTCTTCTTTTGACTTAATTTGAAATGTCAGGAGCCTGATCTCAACATGTGTTACCTTGTAACATGTTAACAAATGTCACTAGAACCCATGAGTGATTTCATAACTGTAATACAACCTTGTCTGGATCATAGAACTTAAATGCTAACATAATTACTATATTTCAGTTTCGAGTGATAAATTAGAACTGACAAAGTTTAGGAAAAAAAATAAGAAACTTTGAAATAGAAGCATGTTTCATCTAATGGATTAATCATTACACTCACCTGCCACCTTCTGTTTTTGTTAATAATTGAGATGGAGTAATTTCTGAATATGTAGACGCTGTTTCTAAGACTAAGTTGGTTAACAGAATTCAGTTTTGTGAGGTTTAATATCCTAAAACTAAATGCAGAGCATTTAGAAAACATTCATTAATTTGGATTTCTTGCACATTTTCAAACTTGCACAATAAAATAGTTATTTGTCAATATATTTACTTCTGATATCTGTTTATATTGATCCTAATTTGTTGCCTTTAGAAAAAGGGGAGGCAGTTCGGACTTTATGGCCAGAATGAAAAAAGAAATCTTTCAAGGGACCCAGAAGCTTTTGATAGGCTATATTTGAGGCATGTTATTGGGCTAGTTGGCTGAGAGATATTTCTTAGCTAGCACATAGTTCGAAGGGGAGACATTTACAACTGTAGCTCATTCATTGATTAAGCGATTAGCTCATGAGCAAAATTGTATTTTAACTAATAGCTCAGTTCCAGGCAGTATTCTTTAGAAAAAAGAGAAATAATGAGAGTTTTTGGCCAGAGAAGGCATACAGGACTATTAAATTGTATATGAATGAGTTTCAATAACATTTCTTTGGGGTTTGATGAAGTAGATTTCTAAAAAAATTATTGCCTCAATTTGTTCCTCTCTTCTACTTCTAAATTTACTTCTAAATCCTATATTTCTCTTAAGATATTAAAGTTCCTTACATCAATACTGATATTAATATTAAAAATAAATACAATTCAAAATGTATTTTATAAAATTTACTTTGATTCTTCTTTGCCCCTTTTTACTTATGCTTTAAAATTCAGTTGAAGTCTTTGTTTTTCCTTCTTCTATTTCACTGTTTAAAAGATATATATGTAAGTATTTATTGTTTTTACTGTACAGATTAAATATCTTTGACTCCAAAGAGACTGTTATTATAACTGTAGAACAGATAGGCAGAGGACTAGCAGAGCACTTCCATGAACTCAAACTAGGTGTTGGAAGACATGGTGAAAACTGCTTAATTTCACAACACATGAACAGATTTAACCATAGCTTCAATTGGGAAGCTGAGTATTTTAGATCAAGTCAAATCCCAAAATGCTGGGGAATTCCTCGACACTTGACACTCAGGTAAATCAGCCATCAATAGTCACATAGAGATAAACAATTTATACAGCATTCAAAAGAGACTTAAAAATTAAAAACCATAAAAAGCAGAACACTTTCTTGCCAAAAATCAGCACCCATATAAATAGGAATTGACACCAGGATTAACACCAGACAATCAATCAGGAACCAATACACTAATGCAGGAATTATTAATGAGAAAACAATCTCAGCATCATTAACCAGGCAAATTACTGTATATAAACAGACAACAAACCCCACTCCCTTCTAATGCTGAAGATGTTACTTAGTCTAATAATAAAACAACCAAGCTCAAACAGCACTAAGCACTCCACAGTTCAACCCTGTTCTCTATATATTTTCTTCTATTGGTACAGTAATACCTTTCAGTGTTAATAAAATAAACAGAAACAAAAAGCCCTATGCTCTCATGGAATTTTTATCTCTGTAAAAAGCCTGAAAGTGAAATAAACATTATTTTATCCATTTATTTTGAGCCACTCTCTACACTACGCTGTTCAAGATTCAGAAAGAGGAAAGTTAAGATTGTCTTATGTCATATCCCAAGCTAGAGTATTTATTAATAGCAATTTTGTTAGACTTGTTTCTGAATTTATAACTCCTTTCTTACTAAAGGGACAAAAGGTATTGGGCATCTTTGCTTTGTACAGCTTTGTAGGATTTCAATTTAAATCATATTTTTAAATTATTTTTGTAGTTAGATCAGATCAATTTATCTTTCAAACCTTGAAATTGTTTAAAGTTTTAAAGAATCCAGGCCACTAAATAAAATGCTTAAAATATTTCCAATGCACAAACTCACCATTTCTATTTCATATCACATTCAATAAACAGAGACTGCAATACTACATTTACTCTGTTTATGAAAAAAAAATCAATTCTATTTGTCATTTGCAGAAAGACAGCTTAAACTTGAATTACAGTAGGAGTACCAGATATCTTAAAATCAATATTGGATGATGTGGGGCTGTATAATTATCAAAACTTTATACTGACCCAACAAGGTTTGGTAGCTTACAGAATTTCCCAATTCTGCATTACATATTTGCTAATTCCTCCATCACTGTTGTTTATCAAATCTAAACTGTATCTCTGCTGATAGCAGTTTTACTCACATTTGTATCATATGCACTTTGTTATTATCATTGCTGTTGTTATTGTGTCAAGTCATTCTTGACTTTCAGCAACTCAACTGCTTGGACTAGTGCCTGCAATTTTGACAAGATTTTTTGGAAGCGGTATGACATTGCCATCTTCCTGGGACTGAGAGTAAGTAACTGGTCATTAGCTTTGGCCTAAGTCAGGATTAAAACTCAGTCTCCCAGTTTCTAGCCTAATGCCTTAACCAATAATTTTGATGTAGTATGTACATCAGCAGAAAAATCAACCAATTATTTAACTCTTTGAACTGAGCGACAATTTCTTCATTATCATTTGGAAGTATAAGTTTAATGTTTTTCTATTCTTAGTTTTTTTGTATGTGAAGAATTTTGAATTTTTGTATTTCATTCTTAAAAGTTTTATTTCAGTGTAAAAATGAAGTCACAGTCCTAAGCAGTTCTACTGAACTTTGAATTCCTTACTTGTCCTTTTGCCAAATATTGGTGAGACACCAGTAGAAGAGAACGTATGTACTCAAGGATTGAAATGATGCTGGGGGAAAAAAGGCAGATTTAATCCCAGGGATCCACTGGAAAAAAGACAGAAAATAGAACTGCCAATATTGTAATAATCTTATACAAATAGTTTTATAATGAAATAGTTTGTTCACCTCTGATCTGCATATTGAAAAAGAATGTAATCCAGTTTGAATTTGGATAAAACGGTAGCAAAAATTATCAGGGAGTTTGAATACTTTTCTTATTAGAAAGGATTAAAATATATGAGAAACTTTCATTTGAACTGAAGGAAAAAGACAATTGAGGTGTATCAAATTATGCATGCCATAGAACTAAAGACAAGGAAATTTGTTTTTTCTCTCTCAAAATATCAAGATTCAGAGTTATCCAATGAAGCTGATTGGAAGAAAATTTAGAACAATCAAAAGGAAGAGGAATTTGTTGCCTGGAGGTTAATGAGGAACATTTGATGGCCACGATAGATACCAGGGATGAGATCTTTTTTGTGGTGACACTTTATTTTTGTAGTACAGAATATAGACTTGATGTTAGTTTTGGTGGCAAATGTTTTTTCTCACCTAAGAGTTTTAGTTATATTGTTGATGCTTTTCTAATTTATTCAGGAAGAGTGCATTCTTTGCCTGATTTTTGCACTATATTATACATTTAAGTTGGATCTTAAATGTATCTAAGAGAAGATCAAGGGTAATATTTTTAAATAAAGTAAAACAAAAAGAATTGACTTTCCTAAAGTGACTCTTCTGTTCTATTAATAATGGCTGATAATGGCAACATTTTATAATATAATCACATTCCTAAAATAATTGTAGTTCCTCTTACATAGCTTTAGGCTCTTTTCTGACCCAGGAATAATAATTTTTAGTTCCATCTATATCTGCTTCTGTGCAATATTTTCTTTCCTCATTTGAAAACTAACCCTTTGTCTTGGAACTGCATTGGCTAAAATTATGTTGACTTGTTTATAGCTCAATTATCCTCTGGGCCATGTATTGCTTCACCTGGTAGAATCATGCAAATTGCTGTCTAAATGATGTAGTATTTACCTTTGCTAACAAATGCAAGAAAGCTTACTGTATGACCGATGAAGGAATAACAAAGAAAACAAGTTTCAAGACAGGAAGCAAATTGCTAGGCAAAAGTTGTAAACTGTAGCCTGATGAATTTTTACAGACTATTAATTCTGCGGTAATGTTTTATTTATGCATAATTAAATGTGAGCATAAACAGGGGCTTCTGCCATATTATCATCCATACTCACTCATAGTTATAATTTTGTGTCTTTATTAATATCTTAATGCCAGTGGGACACTAAGTGCTTCAATCTAAGAAGTGTCGTGTTAGCAAACAATATGTAGGGAGTGTTTACTGATAATTACCTTGATACACTGTCAATTGGGCTTTCAGCTACTGAAAGAAATCTGCACTCATCACTCATATTTTTGCTTTTGATGTTTTCATGTTAGTTGGGGACAGACTATCAGAAGGAAATATATTAAATTGTCTCCAACTATCTCCCATCAGGAGATGTACAGCAGTGGATAGAGAGGAAAGATTTTTTCCTAGTAGTGGCACACCTGGTATGGAACGTTCTTCCTAGGCTTTTATATTTCATCACCCTTAGGTGTTTTCCCAAGTCTTCTCTTCTTAAACATGCTTCAGTTGTTATCCTAATGATAGATGATTAGACAGTATTCCCTGATGAATATTCTAGGGTTAGTTTTAAGTAAACCTGCACAGAATCGGGCAGAGAGGGATAAAATGAGGCTGAAATGCTAATTTATTATTTTTTTTAAAAAAATATATGGAATTGTAACTGTCTGACTATTTTGTTTTGTGTTTTTGTTTTTTTTCTTAAACAATTTATGAAAACATAGTTCAGAGAACATCAGAACAACATAGAAAAAGCAGAAATGCTTTCAGTTTCTTTTAAATGTAGCTATCTTTGTATTTTTAGAAATAATGGGGGTAAATTGATTCTATGCACAAGGCCATCAGTTGTAGACTACTTTAAAACAGAGTAGCAGAATCAATTTTGTCCCAAGCCTCTGATCTGAGTAGAGAAAGGTTTATGTCTGTAGCTAGACACCATTAAATGTTATAGTTTGGAACACACAGTATTTTACTGTTTCACAGTGAAAACCAAGGTATCGAGTGACACAAATGAATGGAGCCATATCTTCCAATTATATGTTTCTATCTTCTGAAGGAAAGTGGAATTTGAAGATACTAAATGTAACAAAGACATTTCTTTTCATTCATTATTTGTAAAATAAGTTTAAAACGAGCTGTCAAGTAAAGGATTGCTAAAGTCTCAAAAAAAGAGAAATTATAGAAAACAAACATTTAAGACAGTTAAAATTTAAATTGCATTACTCATTTAGTCAGAAGGAACAGAGTTTCTTAAAATAATTTTATTTTGTGTTTATAACTGCAACCCCTTTAGCTTAATACCCAGGTGTCCACAGGGTGGGATCTAAAATGTCAAGAAGCCACCACCATGTGAATTGATCTGACCACTTACCAAATTTTCTTGAACTAAGTGGAACTTACTTTTTGCTTGATATATAAAGAACTATTCATACTAATTCCACAAGAAAAGGCCTAAACGTATACATCTACTGAAGAAGAAACTAAGAAGCTAAGCTTAGATAAGCTAAGAAGACGAAGAAGGTAAGAAAATCTAATCTCTGTGCCATCCACTTCCTTGGTTTTATTTTTTATTTTTAAAAATTGTAATTGTTTTTATATTTATCTTTTTACTGTTTGTAAACTATCCAGAGTTGTGTCATTAGTGAGATGGGAAATAAATAAATAAATAAATAAATAAATAAATAAATAGCTGTCACCTTCAGTTACTGTTGCAGGTATTATAAAATCTGATAAGGTCCACTTTTATATGTAACCTAAAATGATGTAACCTTGATATGAATGATTTTCTTGATCATTTTTAATTTTTTCACTGTGAGGGAAAGTTGTTTTGATATTTTTGGCCAAGAGTATTTTCCGAAGTTTTCAAAGATAACTTTTTTCTTTATGTTGTATTATATTAATATCTCATTGTTTAGTGATATGAGGCGCCACAATCAACAATTAGAAGTTGTTTCTAATTTAGGCAAAGTAGAGATAAAATCATATAATGCATCTTACATAAAATATTCCATTGGAATGAACCTGTTCCATACTTCTAAGTTATAGCATTTTGTCTCTTTTATTACTTTGTTTCATTTTTTTCCTACTAGTTCTCTTTTAGTTTGATAGATGCAATTCCAAAATGTCTTTCAAAAGAGAATACCAGTGTTTTTGCACTATTTGGATGTATGTCTTTTCAATGTATAATTGTAACTTTGTACATGAAATGTAACTTTCAGCTTCCCTGGTTTTTCATTTCAATTAAATCCCAAGGGAAACCAAAATGAGGAAGTTCCTGCAATTCTGTTTTCTTTTTGTAAGATAAAATAGGGGAAAAGAGCTAGAACAAAAAATATCAATAACAGTATTGAATTTTAAAAATATAGCAACCAATGAATTCCAAGGGTATATTCAATTTTTTAGATAATATGAAATAATTTGTGTTCATATGAAAACAAATGTAATCCTGGAAAAAAACCTATTCATTTTATATTTCTACTTTATTTTAAAGCTATACATGATGGCCAACTTCGACTGTATTTCTTGTTCATTATACAGTTTTATGGTGGTATTGTTAATCTTTTGGAAGATTAATTTATAAGCATTATGGAGTAATCCAACTTCAAGAAATGTAGTTAAAAAAAAAACCTGTTGGGTAATTGTCTTAATTTCTTCAAAGTTTGCAATAAAAA